CTGCAAAAAAGGCTAATCGAATAAATTTTGTTGATAAGTGTGGCTGAGTACACTATATTTTATTTCGTGAGAAATTGCACACTTCGTAGTAGTAGATAAGTGTATTTGACACTTCTCCCTACAATATTTACATTTTGCATCACTCTTAATATAGAATTCTCTTAGCTTAATGATTAAATAGTAAAAATTCAATAATATAACCATAATAAGTCATATAATGTATATTAGGAAAAAATATTCGTAATTTCAAAAAAAAAAAAATATTCGTGACAAGTTGTAATATTACTGTAAAAAAAAAAATACAATCAATAATTTATACAATTTTCCTCGTAAATGTCGCCTTATAAATATAATATTATCTCAGCATGCATAATAACCCACACAAAATCGATAAAGAATAAAAAACTACAAATTGATCTTGAGCACTTAGCTTCTTCCTCTTTTCTCATTACCAATCAATATCATGGCAAGAAGGAGATTAAGATTGGCATATATTGCCAATCAATCAAAAAGAAAAGCATACTACCAAAAAAGAAAGAGAGCGGTACGTGCTCAAAAAGATTAATGAGCTCACCGTTCTTTGTGGTGATGCTACCACATGTGATAAAAAATAAAGAGAGGGGCACGTGCTCAAAAGATTAATGAGCTCACCGTTCTTTGTGGTGCGGATGCTATTTGAGCACGTACCCCTCTCTTTCTTTTTTGGTAGGATGCTTTACTTTTTGATTGATTGACAATATATGCCAATCTTAATCTTCTTCTTGCCATGATATTGATTGGAAATGAGAAAAGAGGAAGAAGCTAAGTTCTCAAGATCAATTTGTGATTTTTTATTCTTTATCGATCTTGTGTTGGTTATTATGCATGCTGAGATGATATGATATTTATAAGGCGGCATATATGAGGAAAATTGTATAAACTATTGGTTGTATTTTTTTTTATAGTAATATTAATACAACCAATAATTTATACAATTTTCCTCATATATGTTGCCTTATAAATATCATATCATCTCAGCATGCATAATAACCCACACAAGATCGATAAAGAATAAAAAACAACAAATTGATCTTGAGCACTTAGCTTCTTCCTCTTTTCTCATTTCCAATCAATATCATGGCAAGAAGGAGATTAAGAGTGGCATATATTGTCAATCAATCAAAAAGAAAAGCATCCAACCAAAAAAGAAGGAGAGGGATACATGCTCAAAAAGCTTAATGAGCTCCCCGTTCTTTGTGGTGCGGATGCTACCACATGTGATAAAAAAATAAAAAGAGGGGCACGTGCTCAAAAAGCTTAATGAACTCACCGTTCTTTGTGGTGCTGATGCTTTTTGAGCACATACCCCTCCCTTTCTTTTTTGGAAGGATGCTTTTCTTTTTGATTGATTGACAATATATGACAATCTTAATGTCCTTCTTGCCATGATATTGATTGGAAATGAGAAAAGAGGAAGAAGCTAAGTGCTCAAGATGAATTTGTGGTTTTTTTATTCTTTATCCATCTTGTGTGGGTTATTATGCATGCTGATGATATGATATTTATAAGGCGGCATATATGAGGAAAATTGAATAAATTATTGGTTGTATTGTTTTACAGTAATATTACACCCTGTCACTAATATTTTTTCCTAATATACTTATATACATTATATGACTTATTATGGTTATTTTATTAGATTTTTACTATTTAATCATGAGCAAATACCAATTTTGGTCCCAGGAGTATTAACAAAATGACGGTTTTGGTCCACATATTTAATTCCCACCAATTTTAATCCACAATTATTATTTTAGTACCAAAATTCATCACGTCGGTCACCCATCTATGTAAGACATCCCGAAATCTAAAAATTTTAAGGACATTTTCGTCATTTTCAACTTAAAATTCCAATTTGAACATAAATAAATGAATTTAAACCCTAAATCGATCTCAATTCACAGTTCTCCTCCTCATCCTACCTTAATTTGAGGAGAAAAACTGAGAATTAGAATAGATCTTAGGGCTTAAATCCCTTTACTCGTGGGACCAAAATTGGTATTTGCATATTTAATCATTAAGCTAAGAGAATTCTATATTAAAAGTGATGCAAAATGTTCTCATTTTAAATTTACTTCTTAATATTATCATCTTGACGTGCAATTACTTATTTTAATTTCATTTTTTTTTATCACATGCGGTAGCTAGGTCAATTCTTGACAAATAATAAATGAGATTATAACCTGCAAAAAAGGCGAATCGAATAAATTTAGCTGGTAAATGTGGTTGATTACACTATATTTTAGTTCATGGAGAATTGAGCATTTCACAGTAATAGATAAGTCTATTTAACACTTCTCCCTACAATATTTACATAAAAAATTTAAATGTAATACGGAACAATAAAAATTGAGAGTCTACCTAGTAATTTTCTCCCGAAAATTTGGTATGTCAATATGGCAATAAGGCCACCATAGTTGACCAAGGCTTAACCAACGGTTGGCAATTCACACTGCCCTGCCGGCCTGCCCGCGCCCGACATCTGCCCGTCCACCACCGACCAAACCTCATAAGACCCTACTTAGCTTCTCAGTTTGCTGTATGTTCGACAACCTTTGTTCAACTGACGGGATATAACGTTTTATAGTTTTCCGTAATTAACTTCAATAAAAACACTTATTGACTGCATTTTAGTTGACTCGTTCTATATTTTTAATTAATGGGCGAATTTCTGTCCGCTGGCAACTATCCTTTACAACCCGTTTGGTTGGCTTGAAAATATTTAAAGTGAAATGAAATTTAAATTCCATGAAAAACAAATTACCAGAAAAATATATTTCATTGTTGGGTTGATGAAAAAGAAATTACTGATAATATAAATTTCATTGTTTAATTGGGTTTGGAATCGTAAGAAATTATGAATATAAAGACTAATATGCCCTTAACAATAATATATATATATATATATATATATATATATATATATATATATATATATATATAGGGTCAGGTTCCTGTGAGGTCAGGTCTTCCCGTGCGGTCAGTGCGACATACACCATTAGGTATGCATAAATGCATCACACAGTGTTCGTAAATACACTATATGTGTGGTGTATTTTTGTTTTGTGTGGTGCATTTTTTGACATTTCATTCTGGTGTATTTTCGAACACTATATGGTGCATTTATGCACACCTAATGGTATATGCCGCACTGACCGCACGGGAAGACCTGACCTCACAGGAACCAAAATCTATATATATATATATATATATATATATATATATATATATATATATATATATATATATATATGCGTGTGTGTGTGTGTGTGTGTGTGTGTGTGTGTGTGTGTGTTGTGTGTGATTAATAAACTTTAATGAGGGTAAAATAGTCCAATTGTATTATACTTTCTTCCCAAAACTTTTAGAAAACAAAATACAAATCCTTCGCTAGGATTTTGTTTTCCTTCACTATGGGAAAGTCAAGTTCCAATGGAAAATATTTTCCATCCAACCAAACAACATAAAACAACATTTCCCCCCACTCTTACAGCTAGTTTGGTTCGCTAGAAAATATTTGAAGGGAAATAAAATTGAAATTCCATAGAAACTAAATTCCAAGAAAATAGATTCCATTGTTTGGTTGATTGAAAAGAAATTATTGAGAATATGAATTTCATTGTTTGGTTGAGTTTGGAATTGTAAGGAATAACGAGTATAATGACAAATATAACCCTACACAACAATAATAATATAATAATAATAATAATAATAAGAGTAATTAATAAAGAATGGTGAGGGTAAAATTGTTATATTAGTTTTCCATGGAAAACAAAATACCTAGGATGAACTAGAAATTGGTTTTCATCATTCTTAAGGAAAACTTTTTCTAATGGAAAATGTTTTCCATCCAACCAAACAACATAAAACATCATTTTCCTTCACTTTTAGAAAAATATTTTTTTTGGAAAATGTTTTCCATCCAACCAAATACCCTCTTAAAAAAATCTTTTCCATTCAACCACTACAAGAAAAATGCACATAGACAACGGTTAATAACCGTTGTCGTAGGGGTATAATTTCTGTTGTTGAAGCCGGTGTTGTTGTAAGTCCCGCGCATAGACAACGGTTTTTTAACCGTTGTCTTTTCTAGAAACAACAACGGTTTTTTAACCGTTGTCTATTAAGTGTTGTTGAAGCCGGTGTTGTTGTAAGTCAAGCACATAGACAACGGTTAATAACCGTTGTCTTTTCTAGAAACAACAACGGTTTTTTAACCGTTGTCTATTAAGTGTTGTTGAAGCCGGTGTTGTTGTATGTCACGCACATAGACAACGGTTAATAACCGTTGTCTTTTCTAGAAACAACAACGGTTTTTTAACCGTTGTCTATTAAGTGTTGTTGAAGCTGGTGTTGTTGTAAGTCACACACATAGACAACGGTTAATAACCGTTGTCTTTTCTAGAAAAGACAACGGTTTAAGAACCGTTGTCTATTGAGTGTTGTTGAAACCGGTGTTGTTAAAAGTCATGTACATAAACAACGGTTTTAAACCGTTTTCATTTCTTTCAAAAACAACGGTTTTTAACCCGTTGTTTATTCAATGTTGTTGAAACCCATGTTGTTAAAAGTGATGCACATAGACAACGGTTTTTAACTGTTGTCTTTTCTTTAAAAAACAACAGTTATAAACTGTTGTCAATTGTGTTATTGAAACCGCTGTTGTTAAAAGTCACGCCCATAAAGTGTTGTCTTTTTTAGAAAAGACAACAGTTTCAAACTGTTGTCTTTTGTAAAATAGACAACGGTTTTTAACCGTTGTCTCAACGATTTTAACCGTTTTTAACCTGCTGAAATTTTAATCATATAAAAAATCAATTTATCCATTCACCATGGCCAAGTGTAGTTACAAAAGAACTAATTAACAAGTCTAAATACTTCCATGAACAATTCTAATCAAATCATATATCATCCAAGTCATAATACTACAAAAAACAATTCACGAACCAAGTCTAAATGAGTACAATAACCGTTATTGTCATAATCAACTTGTTGGAACTACATGTAAAAAGTGAGTACATTTTTGCACTATTAAAAAGGATAGCACTAATATAATAAACAAACAAAGGTTAAATGGTCTCATTAGACCCGTAGGAAGGCATCACAAAGCCCATCATCTTGCTTCTACTATGAGTTTCATTTAAATAACCAACTGCAAAGCAAACTCACTTCTAATTCCTTAATCACGCTCTCAAGTTCACCTACCTTTTTAGACCACTCCTCCGAGCTCTCTTTATATAGTTCCACAAGCTTGTTTAACTACATGAATTAAGAATGTTAGGTACAGATGCAACCTGCAACTTTAAGTCCATCACACAGCATGCAAATATGATCTCTTTATTGTAGAATGATGAGTGGTGCAGAACCCTTATCTAACACTAGAAGAAAATTCATAAATCATACTTCACGTAAAACAGCCAAACAAGGTTGAGCCTAGTAATAGGATGCATAAACATGCCCTAATATAGTAAAGAGATTTTGCATATATATTCAGCATATTTGAGTACTTTACTGAGTTAATACCAAGCCAATCCATATCCCTATTAGGAGACAAGAAATGAACCACAATTAAATAACAGAGGGAAAAAAATCTATAATTCAGATAAAACTACTTTTCTCCAGGTGGCATTACAATTTTTTAGAAGAATAAGGGTAGTTAGAGTGAGTTGCACTCAGTCTTTCATTTCTTTTTTGAATTATGTGGCTGGTAGTCTTTAGCCTACGTATAAATAGGGCTTTTATCTTGTACAGTTTTACACAGAAACATATATACAGTTTTACAGTTCCAACACTTAACACAATTGTTGCATTGTATCTTTTTGATTGATATCTTTACAACTCTATCTATACATACCAACATTTTACAATAAGAAGGCTGCACCCACTGATCCCTGTCGTCAAAAAATTAACTAAAGAGGGAAATGAGTCTATGACAAGGCAAGCTACATGCCTATTATAAAGAAAACTTTCAGTGGACAACTACAATAGCTTCTAGCTCTAATAGACAAAAAGGTGGTATAATTGAATGTCTAATAAACCAAACAAAGTGCAGGTATTAAGACTGGGGAAAAAAACATTGAATGCATTTCCTATCTGAGGATGATTAAGAGCTACATGCATCAGAATTTATGCCAAGAAAAAATTTATGGCCACAGAAGTATATTCTAAAGCTCTGTGTTCACCAGCTAAATGCTTTTTTGTGAATTAATTACTTTACTCATGAACTTTAGTATAAAAGAGGATATAAAAAATAGAAAACACTTACAGTAGAAATCTCAGCAGATGATTGTTCCTCTGTCCTAGAAGCTGCATCCTTTGATGATAACAGCTCCTTCAATTATGTAATGAAGATACAAAAATTATTAGGAAACAAATGGATCAACCAGGAAAATAAATAACATAATGGAAACTAACAGACAAACCTGCTCCAAGGATGCCATCTTCAAATCCAGCTCCCTTACTCTGTCCTTGTACCATGTCAAAGAGCTAGAACTTTCACTGAACTTCCTCTCTACCTAAATTTGTCAATACATTCATATCAGTGATGTTGTGTGGGTGAACCAAAGAATAAATAGTAGGCATGACATGCTCTTCAATACCAACTTACATCAGAAAGTTTAACAGACATGTATGCCTCAAGTTTGGAATGAGTTTTACGAAGGTTTATGAGATCATTGACTTTGGTAGTTAACTCGTCATTAAGCCATGTGTGATGCCTCTCAATTAGCTCCTTCTCCTGCTTGGGTAACATGAGATATATAATGTCCCAAAATGTAATACATAGGATCTTTATTTATTGCATTAAGCAGGTTCAGACAAATCCAGTAGTCATAGCAATTAGCCATCACATATGCATTATTTTGGTAGTAAAGTATCAACTACAAGATGTGAAAAGATAAGTATTATCTGTAAAAATGTAAAATATATGATTCTCATTACCCAAAATAAAGTAGAAACGACTCCTACATTGAATCACTATGCTGCAAAAAGTAAATATCAACTAAGCTCTTTTTTAACCTGTTGCCTCATCTTATTAGCCTGATCAGTAACATTTTTCATGAAAAGCATGTGTTTTATTGTCCTATCAATAAAGGGAATAAGCAAAAATAACACATTGCTTAAAGCCTTAGTCAATTGCAAACTAGATTGATACAGTTGAGTAATAAGCAAAAAAAATAAAAATAAATAAATAAATAAAAACATAGTTGAGTAATACAGTCCAACACAAATCAATTGCAAATCATATTTCACAAATTACGGTCTAGCACACATTATGAATTTCATTGCAGGAGGCGTTACCTTGGTTCACATGTGAGGCTAAGGCAGAGAACAGACAGCAGTTTCGTCGTCGACAGGGGCGGAGGCGGAGACCGGGCAGTAGCTTCCTCGTCGGCAGGGGCTGAGGCGGAGACTAGGCCGCAGCTTGGGCGAAGGCGGAGACCGGAGAGGAGATGCGGAGTCCTCCGGTGTCGTCGACAGCAGCTTTGTGGTCGGGACTCGGCAAGGGCGGAGGCGGAGTCTTGTTGTCAGCTGAGTTAGGGCTTGGGGAGTTGGGGGAACTAGGGAAGCGATAGAAGGGTAGACGATTAGGAAATTGGGGTACACCTCTAAGTTCTACTTTGTTTTTCTTTTGGCCAGCGAGAGGCGCCATTTTTTCGGCCAATTGGGCAATTGGAGGTGGCGATGGCGGTCTGGAGGCGGCATTTGGAGAAGAGAACTACGGAGTAATGTTTTAGGGATTTAGGAGAGAAGAGAGAAAGATGTGTGGGTTGCAAAAATTTGGTGGGAATTAGATTTTAGATTTTGGTGGGAATTAGATTTTAATGAAATAATTTTCACACACCAATATTGAGAGTAACAACATTTTTAGTATCAATAGCGAGAGTATATATTTTTAAAATAAGTATTAAATTAAAATTTCAACACTAAATTATAAATCTTTAGCTAGAGCAATTTTTAACTTTCATAAAAATTATGCAAATAATACATTTATTAGTGAGGGGGTTTTTCATTTGTCACTAATTTTCTGTCACTAAAAACTGTTTTACTTGTAGTGATAACATATATATCTAATATAATAAGGAAAATAACGAAATTTTATTTTTATTTTATAATAAGCCTTCATTTTTTTCCAAATTAAATAAGTATATTCATGGTTTTATAGGGACCGGGTCCACCATAAACCGAGTATATAGGTATAAAACGGGAGTAATAAAATAGTAGCTTTATTACCCGGGTCGCTAGACCCAAAATAGTACCGGGCATATAGGTACAGAACGCGAGATTCATAGATTTTTATATTGTAGATTCATAAATTCTATACTGTATATTTATAAAATCTTTACTCTAGATTCATAATTTCTAAATCGTAGATTCATAATTTAAATACAATAGATTCATAATTTCTATACAGTAGATTCATAATTTCTACACTGCAGATTCATAATTTCTGTATTGTTGATTCATAATTTCTAAATTGTATAGTTATCAAATTATGAACATATAGTTTTGTGATTTGTAAATACAGAGTTCAACAATTGGGAATATGAACATCGAAAATTATGAACATAGAGTTCTGTAATTGTGAATATAGAGTTCAATTATTATGAATATTATGAATTTCAAAAATTATGAATATATAGTTCGGTAATTATGAACATAGAACAGTGTGCACCATGCATGGTGCACACGATTGCACGACATAATTTGCCCTTTATTACCCGAAGCTTTATTCTTCCAAAGGCTGGCGGCCCAATTATTACAAAGATCGCGGCAAAAGAAATTAGCTATAGCTAACTGTACGACGTTAACTACTCTTTCATATCCATTCTCCACGTGTCCCATGTATGCCGGAAAGGTCGATTACCAACCCCGGCCCCTATCATACCGCCCTTAACTCCTCCACACCATACCGCACCATTCTGAACACCACACCGCACCGCACAGGGCCGTTCTATGCCATGTAATTTAATGAATTGAAAATAAAACTTTAATGAATTGTAAAATAAAATTTTAATGAATTGGCATTTAAATTTTGGCGAATAATTTTATATTTAAATATGAACGAAAATAAAACTATTAAATTAACTTTTGAATTGTATTCTTTCTTTATTAATTTTTTATGCATTATATTTGGACAAAAAATTTAATTACATTTTTATTTTTGTTTTAGATCTTCTAAACATCTATTTTCATCTCGTAACAAAAACAATGAAGGTCCAAATTATAGGTAAAAGATATGGTGTAACACTTTAATAAACAAGAGTTGGTGTGGTTTGGTGGGTTTAGCTTTGTTTGTTATGTTAGAGGTCTTGGGTTCTATCCTTCTTGGTGGCATCATTAACCTATATTTTATACAAAAGATAAGTGTTGGTGTAGCTTGGTGGGTTTAGCTTAGTTTGTTATGTTAGAAGTCTTGGGTTCTATTCTTCCTAAGGGCATCCTTCGCTTATTTTATATATAAGCAACCCAGTTATATATAATATACCAGATGTTGCACTTTGCTACATAAGAATTTGTGTTGGTTAGTTGGTTAAACTTTATTTGTTATGTTTGAGGTCATAGGTTCGACTCTTGTTGTTAATGTCATTGTTTTTATTTTATACAACTGTTGTCTTTTATAAAATAATGATGCGCAAAGACAACGGTTTTTTATTCAAATACGCTTAAATACAACATACCAAAGACAACGGTTAAATAAAACCGTTGTCTTAAACAAATAAAGAACGTGCAACGACAACGGTTATATAAAACCATTGTCGTTGTAGTGTTGTGTATTCAAGTGCTATTAAAGACAACACATAAATGACAACGGTTAAATAAAACTGTTGTCTTTTATAAAATAATATTGCGCAAAAACAACGGTTTTTTATAACTGTTGTCTTTGTAGTCTTGTGTATTCAAATACGCTTAAAGACAACATACCAAATACAACGGTTAAATAAAACCGTTGTCTTAAACAAATAAAGAACGCGCAACGACAACGGTTATAAAAAACCGTTGTCATTGTAGTGTTGTGTATTCAAGTGCTATTAAAGACAACACATAAATGACAACGGTTAAATAAAACCGTTGTCTTTTAAAAAATAATAATGCGCAAAGACAACGGTTTTAAAAAACCGTTGTCTTTGTATTGTTGTGTATTCTAGTGCGCTTAAAGACAACATACCAACGACAACGGTTAAATAAAACCGTTGTGTTTTTTTAAAAAAAGATCGCACAAAGACAACGGTTTTAAACAACCGTTGTCTTTCTAGTGTTGTGTATTCCAGTGCGCTTAAAGACAACACACCAACGACAACGGTTAAAAAAACCGTTGTCTTTTTTAAAAAAAAAACGCACATAGACAACGGTTTTATAAAACCGTTGTCGTTGTGGTGTTGTCTTTTCATAAAATGCACAAAGACAACACACTTATAACAACGGTTAATTAAAAACTGTTGTCTTTGACAAAAGTGTTGCATCAAAGACAACGGTTTTGGACCAAACTGTTGTCTTTTATACAAAAGACAACACTTTTCTTAAAAACTGTTGTCTTTCTAGTGTTGTGTATGTGCATTTTTCTTGTAGTGAACCAAACACCCCTTAGACTTATCATCACATCATTCATCATGCATGCCTCATTTTCTTTTTAGAAATAAAACAAGGAAAAAATAGCGATTTTTGTCACACTATTTATAAAAAAAACACAATGATTTAATTTATTAATTGTTATTGCGAACATTATTAACGGTTAACTTTTGTTAATGAGATTTAGATTTCAGTCTCACCAATATAAATCATTAAAGTTATAGTCTTTTTTAATAGGGACTTGTTCCTCAAGTTATATATTTATAGCACTTTTCTCTCTTGAATTACTCATTTAACCACATTAGCCCCTTCAATTATTTTAGAAATGAATTATTTTTCTCCGACCAATTATTGCGTATACGTAGGGATGACACCACTGTTCAATTCGAACTGAACCGGACACTATAGTAATCGAATTAAAAGTTTTCGGTTATGATTCAGATATGAAACCCAATATTTGGATTTCAGTTTATTAAAATTATGAATCGAAAAAATTGGATCCTGAACCGTGAACCGGCGGTTTCGGATCTGGTTCGCGATTTTGAACCGTCTTTATTTTAAAATTTTATTTTTATTTTAAAATAGTCTAAATTCAACAATAAATGTATTTTAATTTATTTTTTAGTTCAGAACATGAACTGGCCATTCCGGTTCACGATTTTAATAAACTCTAAATGTCGGGTTTGGATTATAAATTGTAATTGGAATATTTCAGTTTGGTTGCTATAGTGTCTGTTTGGTTTGAACCAAATTGTGGTCATGATTTGTGGGAGAAGAAAAATAAATGAAATATTTATTTTAAGGTTAAATATGTCCATTTAACATTTCAGGGGAAAACAACCACTTGAATAACTTAGGGGAGGAAAGTTCTATAAATATATAACTCAAGGGAAAAAAGTGCTAAAGTATATAACTTAGGGGGAAAAGTGCTATTTTCCCATTTTAATATAATGTGAAGTTTAATCTCTCTCTCTCTCTCTCTCTCTCTCTCTCTCACACACACACACACACACACACACACACACACACACACACATATATACTTATACTAGTTTTTCTACGCGCTTTGCCCGAATGGGATAATGCCCAATGATTCTTTTTAAATAAGTATTTCAAAGTATATCAATGCAATATTATATAAAAGATGCTCATGCATAGGTAAATAAATGTTGAATTTGTTTATTTAAATCGGTAATTTAAAGTGTATAAATGCAAGATAATATATGAGAGATCAATTGATTTATATACTTTAAATTACTGATTTAAATAAACAAATTCAAAATTTATTTACCTATGCATGATCATCTTCTATATAATATTGCATTGATATACTTTGAGATACTTATTTATAAAGAATCATTGGGCATTATCCATTCGCGCAAAGCGCGTAGAAAAACAAGTATATATATATATATATATATATATATATATATATATATATATATATATATATATATATATATATATACATACATATATATATACATATATATATATATATATGTGTGTGTGTGTGTGTGTGTGTGTGTGTGTGTGTGTGTGTGAGAGAGAGAGAGAGAGAGAGAGAGAGAGAGAGAGAGAGATTAAACTTCACATTATATTAAAAAGGGAAAATAGCACTTTTCCCCCTAAGTTATATACTTATAGCATTTTTCCCCTTGAGTTATATATTTATAACACTTTTCCCCCCTAAGTTATTCAAGTGGTTGTTTTCCCCTGAAATGTTAAATGGACATATTTACCCTTAAAATAAATATTTCATTTATTTGTCATCTCCCACAAATTATGACCACAATTTGGTTCAAACCAAACAGACACTATAGCAACCAAACCGAAAAATTTCAATTACAATTTTTTAATCGAAACCCGATATTTAGAGTTTATTAAAATCGCGAACTGGAATGGCCGGTTCATGTTCCTAACTAAAAAATAAAATAAAATACATTTATTGTTGAATTTAGACTATTTTAAAATAAAAATAAAAATTTAAAATAAAGACGGTTCAAAATCGCGAACCAGAACGAAACCGCCAGTTCACACACACACACACACATATACTAGTTTTTCTACGCGCTTTGCGCGAATGAGATAATGCCCAATGATTCTTTTTAAATAAGTATTTTAAAGTATATCAATGCAATATTATATAGAAGATGCTCATGCATAGGTAAATAAATGTTGAATTTGTTTATTTAAATCAGTAATTTAAAGTATATAAATGCAAGATAATATATGAGATATTGATTATATATAACTTTCACAATAATAAATGGAGTAAGGTTCAAATTGGCCACAAACGTGACTTGAAAATGCAATTAGGTTACTGAACGAAAAAAATGCAATTAGTCTACTGAAAACTCCAAATGTATGCAATTTCACTTGATAGCAGGTAACCATTAATTTTAACAAGGAGTAAAAGACATTTTTGGTCCTAGACTTATATGCCACAAACAATTTTAGTCCTCTTTAAAAAAATCAGACAATTTGTGGACACTCTTATTGTGACGAGGACAATTTTGGTCCTCCGTCAATATTCCCGTTAGATGGCCTGTTAGATGGGGGTAATTTTGTCTTTTTAGACCTCCTTCCTCCTTCCTTCTTTCTTCTTTTTCCCTCTTACTGAATACTGAGTACTGACCAAACGAAAAATAAATAAAAAAATCCATCGTAGAATTGGAGATCTCAGGGAACTCACTCTTCAATTTCGTTTGTTTTGGTAGGGGTTTAACTTCTGATTAGATTCTTTCCCCAAACAAAGCCTTCTTGTTCGTTTCTTCCCCATACTCAATCCAATTTGCTTCCCCAAATTCACATCGATTTGAGACTTCACAACTATTGCAATGAAAATCAACAAGCTAGGGTTTTGATTGTGGCCAAGTTTTCTAGGAGGAAGCGGGCGAGCGGACGAGAGTGGTGGCGGCGGCGGTGGTCACAGAAATTGGTCATGCGAAGGATGGGATGAGAAGGGTGGATAGAGAGGAGGTGGCGGCGGCGGAGGCTCAGATATGTTCGGATCTGGGATTTGAAACGCATCTGCTCGGATCTGGGATTTTTCGCACGTTGAAGCTGACCGTGAACTCTATGGGAGAGGATCTGTTCTGGGGTGTTGCAGCTGTTGGTGAGCTGTGCTACTGTCGATTTTCCATTGAGAAGAGAGAGAGACGAGAGAGAGAGAGATCGAGACGGGAAGAGAGGAGGAGATGGGGGTTGTTGGTGGATTAAACTTGTTTGTTGTTGGCAAGGAAGAAGGTTGAGGATGGGTGGTATTGTGGCTGCCATTGTTGTTGTTGTTGTTGTTGTTGTTTTCGTGAATAAAGAGAAACAGAGAGAAAATGGGTCTGTTGTTGAAAAGTCGCAATTATCCTAACTCAAACGGGGCATCTAACGGAAATATTGACGGAGGACTAAAATTGTCCTCGTTACAATAAGAGTGTCCATAAATTGTCTGATTTTTTTTAAGAGTACTAAAATTGTCCATGCCACTATAAGTCTAGGACCAAAAATGCCTTTGTCTTTTATCTTTTAACAAGTTACTTGCTTACGTGGCAGCTGAGTTGGCATTTTTAATACATTTTAATAATAAATTTTATAAAAATTTAAAAATTAAAAAAAAATGACAGGGTGGCCGTTGGCTACCCCGTCTGTTTTATTTTTATTTTTTTATTTTTAATTTAAATTTTGTCATTTTTTAAAAAATATTATAAAAATTTATTAAAAGTTATTTAAAATGCCTACTCAGCTGCCACGTAAGTAGGTGACCAGCTAAAATTGTTGGTAACTTGCTATCCGGTGAAATTCCATACATTTGGAGTGTTCAGTGACTTAGTTGCACGTTTTTGGAGTATTCAGTGGCCTAATTGCATTTTCATGTTACGTTCAGTGACCAATTTGAACCTTATTCCAAAATAAATATTTGCAACTTTGTAATAACGATAGTCTAAATACTTAGTCTAAAAGCGATAGTCTAAATAAATACAACTTTTGGTTTAAATTTCTCCAATTCTTGTTTGGGAAACATTGTTATTGTCTTCATCTTCAGTCCATGTCTTATTTTTTTTTTTTTAATTTTTTTGTTATTGGTAGTATGTCATGTGCAATTAGGTTATTGTTAGTAGCATAGAGGGATTCATCATGTAATGAGATTATGGTGTATGAAGCTTTAGATTTGCCTTCTTGTGTATATGACTGGGATTTTAGTTGTGCTATGAACTATTTATCTTGCAAGCACATGTTGATATTTGATAGTGGTAGTTTAATTTCCCCTACATGTTTCATGTGTTGTGAGATGTGTGTCATAGGTTATCATGTGAAAGTATTGAACAAAATATTAATATTTATTATATTTGTATAAAATACTTGATAAATAAATAAATATAAATATAAATATAAATATATATATATATATAATGTGTGTGTGTGTATATATATATATATATATATATATATATATATATATATATATATATATATATATATATACACACACACTATATATATATATACATATATACACTATATATATATATATATATATATATATATATATATATATATATATACATACATATACACACTATATATATATATATACATATACACACTATATATATATATATATATATATATATATATATACATACATATACACACTATATATATATATATATATATATATATATATATATATATATATATATATATATATATATATACACACACACTATATATATATATATACATATACACACTATATATATATATATATATAAAACGTATTTTGTATTATAACTTTGATATTTAATTACAAGATAATGTAAAAAGAAGACAATAGATAATGTAGTGAATATAATAAATTAATAAATTTGAAGGTAATGAATCTTTGAATTGTATAAAATAAAGATAATATAACTAATGAAATTATATTTCTTTTTAAATTTTTTTATTATGGATAATTCATTTTAAATAGAGGCATTATAGACATCTCATTTTAAATTAATTAAATGAATATGTATTATTATATTTTATGTTGTAGCTACTAATTTATTTTTTAATTTAATAAGAGCAATAAAGGGACATACATACTTTTCATCCACAATAATGAAATCATTGATTTTATTAATTTCCATTTGTTGTTGATACAAATTGTTTTGAAAGTTTGCCAATGACAATTATTATCAATAGAGGATGATGATAAATAATTCAAAATATAAGGTTACAATATATATTGTTATAATAATATAGTAAAAATTAAATTATAAATTTCAATTATTTAGACGTTTCATGCATTGATAAAAGCATAATTGAAATATTAAGTTTTGTTCTCAATAATCAAAATATGATTAATTAAACGAAAAAAAAACTTTACTTAAATTTTTTTTTTAAATGAAAGAAAATCAAATGATTTTCAAAGTTCCTGGTTTATAATCATTGAATACTATGTATTTAGTGAACTAATTATTTGACCAAAGTTTATATTAAATTTTATATTATATTTTTTAATACTAACATATTCGTAGTATATGTTTAACAATTATGTCAACTCTAATTGGGATGCAGTTCGACCCTAAGACCTTTCTTATAGAAATTAATGAGTAAGTTAAGAATAATAAATAGTTAACGGAATATTCCGTTAAGAAAGTTTATACTAAAGGAATTTAAGGTTATTTAAGGAAAGAAAATAATATAATAAAGGGTAAATAAGAAAAATCATTAAGAAATACTAAAATCAAAATAATATGAACCATTCATTTTAGGAAACAATTAGGACCAACATTTTTTTATTCCAGTTAAGGGCCTAACATTATTGGCTCATATTAAAATTGTAGATTGTAGATATATAAAAGTAAAATCCTCCTATTTCATTTTCCCGCTCAAACTTTTGTAGTAAAACTTATTTGGTAACTAAATGTAAAATGGAAATTAATTAAAATCTATTAATTGATAATATTGTTTCCATATTCACATATTAACCTAATTGGTAAATCTATTAATTGGTAATTGATGGGGGTGAGGATCCCGGCCCAAGAAGATGGGCCTAAGAGAGGAGTCCAAGATAGGAGATGGGGGCCAATAGCGAAAGAAGCCCAGTGAAAGCTTGGGCCGAGTCCAGGAGTCGGCCCAGGCCTGAGCATAAGGAGAGACCCGGCCCCGAGCCGTTAAGGAGCATTCAAAGAACCCCATTTAAGAGGAACCGGCCCAGAAAGCCATTGAAGGATGTTAAACGTAGCATTTAAGTCGGTCCAGGAGCCGTTGGGGTATTCAAAGCAGGCATCCCATAAGACTCGGCCAAACAGGATGTTTAAAAGACCAAAGAGCCGTTGGCCGACCCGGTAAACGGCGCCCAACGGCCTTATAATTGTAATTAGCCTTGAAAGCAGCAGTTAATGTCCTTCAATTCGGATGGAAGGGGGCCTACTATATAAAGGCCCCTCCACTCTTGTAAAGGGAGGCGAGTCCATGCCCAGTGAATAAGAAACACACTCTAGCTATTATTTCGACTACTCTTCCTTTGCTAAAAAGCTTTGTGAAAGGTGAATCCACCAACCAAGGTTGTGTTGGACCTCCCTGGGCCCGAAAACCCAAAAACCAACACTGGCGCTGTCTGTGGGGATCGATACAAAGAGCTACGTGACTCTTTGAGTGGGCAATTTATACCATACACCCCGGTGTATAGAGCTATGTACGCCCAGCATCAAAACGACGCCATATGGAATTGTTATGTAACGAATTTTTTTTATTAGTCTGTTAACGCCGTCAAACGGTAAGAAGAGGGAAGTGAGAGAGCGGCTCTAAAGACATGGTGTCGTCGCGCCGATCATGCATATTGGATTAGAGAACATGAGAGCGACCTGATTGTTCGATTTGCGTCGTATTCTGCAATTGTTGGATGGAAGCCATGTCTGATTCGATTGCGCAGCAGGATGTGGTGGAGACAGAGCATACAACTGATCCTGTTGGAGTGGTAGATACAAAGGATGCTAATCCAGGTATTTGATTTTTAAGATTTTATTTTGTATTTGTGTTTGATGTATGATGAATATATTGAACTCGCTGTTGAATTATATAAGAATTGATATAGAATTTCTGTTTGATTGTGGTTGTTTTGGATGTTAGTATGGTTTGATTTGAAGTTGTTGTTTCAGTGAGGTTGTACGTGTATTATATGGTTTAATTTGTTTGGTTTTATGATTATGTGTATTGTGCCATATGTGTATGTGTATTGTAGTTATGGATTATGTACATTAACAGTATGCGATATAGGTTTTATGTATTTTAATGATTATGTGTATTGTGCCATATGTTTATGTGTATCGTAGATATGGATTATGTACATTAACAATATGGGTAGTTAAAATGTATGCTATTTGTAGCTGATGGATTTGGTAGGGATGTCAGTGTGTTCGGTTGATGAAGCATATGACATATATAATGATTATGCCTTTAGAGTAGGTTTTAGCGTGAGGAGGGGTAAGCAAAGATATATTTCTGCTACAAAAACAATGAAGACGAAGATGTTCCATTGTTCGAAGGATGGATTTAAAAGGAGTACAGGAAAATGGTGTTATTCTAAAATTGATGGTTGTACAGGTTGTGGTGCATTTGTCCAATTCGATTTACATGAGAATGGGATGTGGATTGTTTCGAAGCATGAGAAGTTGCATAATCATGAATTGGTTCCACCAAGCAAGAGTTACCTTCTAAGGTCACATAGGATGGTGTCTAGGAATCATATATCATATCTTACTGATTTGAAGAGCAGTGGTGTGTCTGTTGTAGATGGTGTAAGATTCCTTAAAACACAATCAGGGGGGGGGGGGGGGGTGGGGGGGGGGATCACCACTTGTTGGGTTTACAAGTAGGGATGCATATAACTCTCTATGTACCGATGCATTGAACAGATTGGATGGTACCGATTCAAACACATTGATTGGAGGTTGTGTAGTTTTTACTTTGATTTTGAGGTGGATTTGGAGTCAAGGTTGTGTAGTTTTTTTTGGAGGGATGGACGGATGAGGAGAGACTATGATTTGTTCGGGGATTTGCTAGTTCACGATACAACATATCGTACTAACAAATATGACATGATTTGTGGACCTTTTGTTGGCATGAATAACCATTGCATGAATGTTATGTTTGGATCCGGTTTTTTGATGAATGAGAAGATTGAGTCATTTGTATGGTTTTTTAAGACATTTTTGAGATCTATGGATTACAAAAGTCCACAAAGCATAATGACTGATCAATGTGCTGCTATGGCTGCTGCAATTGTTCAAGTTTTTCCAAGTTCACGACATCGGCTATGTATATGGCATATTGGCGAGAACTCAAAGAAGCACATTAAAGGGTTAAGAAATCAAAAAGATTTCCTAAATATATTCAATTGCTTGTTGAAGTATACGGATACAAAGGCAGAGTTTGAATTTTACTGGACGAGGTACATGTCTGATGTATGCTTCGTTATTTTGTTTTTTTTTTTTTTGTTTTTTTTTTGTTTTTATTATTAGTTTACATATGGATTATCATTGAATGAATTGTTGTAGATTATATTATACAAAATACAAAATTATTTTTCTGGATCAAGTTTATGTGTATCTATTTGATAGTTTATCTGTATTCAGGTATAAGATTATGTACATTAGTCTGTTCTGTATGTTATATACTGACATGCTTGTAGGTTTACTTTAATATATCTATGGCATGTTATTTCAGGATGGTTACAACATATAAATGTCACAATAATCACTGGATTGAAAAGTTGTATGGGTGTAGAGAAAAATGGTGTCCTGCTTTTAATAAAGATTATTTTTCGGGTGGGATTTTATCTTCTCAAAGGAGTGAGACCACCAATCACTCTATTTCTAGAAGGTTGTCCAAGACATCTGGTTTGTGTGTTTTTTATAACTCTTTTGTTGGGGTCATATCAGAGTGGAGAAGTAGAGAGAATGGGGAAGATGTTCGGTGTTCACAATGTGTACCCACAATGGTGATGGATAATGTTAAGATTTTGTTGCATGCTAGGGAAATTTATACAATTGAGATATACTATTTGTTTGAAGAACAATTTTTGAAAGGTGGATCATGCTATCAAGAGTGTGTGATGTTGGAAGATGGTGTGTATAAGTATCATGTCTGGAGGCCTGATGTTGATATTATTAGGCATGAAGTAGTGTTTAACAGTAGACAAATGGACATTGGATGTAGTTGCAAGTTGTTTACTGAATTGGGGATTTTGTGTTGTCATTGTTTACGCATTCTAAATGTGCATTGTGTTTCTGAAGTCCTCGAGAAGTATATTTTGAAGAGGTGGACTAAAAAAGTTGTTGAAGTTGATAATGTTGATATAATGTCTACAGTTGATAGTGGTAATGGTGCATCTTCTGTTTGGTTATTAGAAATCATTAGGAAATTTCAGAGGCTTGCTGTTTATAGTCAGGAAAATATCGAAGGACGGAAGATTTGTGAAGAAGCAATTGCAGATGCAAAGAGAAGACTTGAAGCTGAATGTGGTGGCAGTTTATTTGAAGATTGTGACATAGGATCGACAAGTGGTGTTATAAAGGATCCATCTACTAGGCGGATGAAAGGGTTGCGGAATAGGAGGGTGAGCAGCGTTATTTCAAAGAAATATAACAAAGCAAGGGGACGGAAGCATCTTGCAAATATGGTTGCTTCCAAAATAAAATCTGCTGTTCAGTCTCAAGTTGAGGGTGATATTTTAAATATTGCAGGTGATAGATATCTTGTGCACCCAAGTTCCGGAGGTTCTAGTTTTTGTCACGTTAGCACAATGTCAAGCATGGATGATAATTAAAGCACATGTTAGTGTTAATCATCGTAGTAATATATATCACGTACAGAACGATGTTAAATCACATAACTCAGCAGTAATAAAATAGACTTTTATTATGATATGTGCTGTTTTAAAAGTTTATGTGTATTAATTATATACTTTATGTGTATTCCTTATATACTTTATGTGTATTACTTCATATGATTATGTACATTTTTATTTGTGTTAATTACTTTTATTTATTTATGTACATTTCTTTTTTAGATTTGCAGTTATCAGTATAGGGAAATGATATGCTTGGTCATATGTGTATTATGTACATGTTTACATTCAATAGGATGTTTGATTATATATATTAGCAGAAACAAAATATTTGTTAGACTTTTTTTAGTAGTATGTGCACTATTTGAAAGTTTATGTGTATTCATTATATGGGTTATATGTATTACTTCATATGATTATGTACAATTTTTGATAGTTCACAGTTTGTGTAGTATATGCATTGATTATGCACAAAACCATATTGGGGAATATGAAAAATATAGAATACAAGTAAACATTAGATTGGATTACCAAAAGGAGCATATACAAATTTCTGATAATTGTTTATCAACTGAAATTTCTAGAAATTGAACCAAAAATACAAGTAACCATGTGTTTGGATTAGCAGAACTGATTTTTACAGATTGTGGTTAGTAGTTTCACTTCTCTTTCTTGTAGTTGTCCCTTGCTGATTGCATGACTATTTCCATGTATTCGTTTTTCTTCCACATGATGATGTTTGCTGCATATTTTGCTCTAAGCGATGTAATGAAAGCAGCCTACAGTAAACAAAAAATACATGTTAAAATTAGAAGAAACAAGAGATAACAAGCGGTCATTCGGAGGCCCCCTCTTGAAGTGTCTACTCAGGTCCGAAGCCGAGAGGATAATGGATGAAGCTCACCGAGGGATCTGCGCCGCCCACCAGGGAACCCACACTCTCGCCCGGAAACTAGTCGTCCAGGGGTACTACTGGTCGACCATGATGCGAGATTGCATTGAGTGGATAGCTAAGTGCGGCATTTGCCAAGCCTTCGCCCGGAAGGATACTCGGCCGGCCACCTTCTACACGCCGGTCACCACAGCCATCCCTTTTGCTAAGTGGGGAATCGACTTGTTGGGACCGTTACCAGTCGCCCCGGGAACCCTGAAATTCTGCGTGGTGGCCATCGATTACTTCACTAAATGGGTTGAGGCCGAGCCACTGGCCACCATCACCGAGTACTAGTGTCGACGCTTCCTGTGGAAGAAGGTGATTTGCCGTTTCAGCCTGCCCGAGCACATAATTAGGGTTAACGGCAGACAGTTTGACTGCCAAGCCTTCGCCGACTTCTGTCGCCGGCATAGTATACGACACACCAAGGTATCCGTCGCGTGCCCCCAGGCCAACAGACAAGTTGAAAATGTAAATCGGACCATAGTGGACGGGATTCGGAAGAAGTTAGAAGACATCAGGGGAAATTGGGCGGATGAGCTCGACTGGGTCCTATGGGCTTATCGAACGACGCAAAGACGGGCGTTGGGAGAAAGCCCAATTTCCTTAGCATACGGCTTTGAAGCCAAGGTTCCGATAGAAGTCGTGGAACTCACCCACCGAGTCCGCAACTATTCTGATGAAGAGAATGAGGAGAGCCTTAAAATTGAGAAGAACTTCCTGGAGGAAAGAAGGGAGGCCGCAAACGCCCGGATGGTGGAATATCAGCAAGCCGTGAAGAGGTATCGTGATCGAAGGATTCGCCCACGAACCTTTCAGGTCGGCAATCTCGTGTTACAGGACCAACAGGCGAGTCAGCCTACGGAAGGGGGTAAACTCGCGATAAAATGGGAAGGACCGTATCGCATTGCAGCCGTGGTCCAAGCTGGTACCTACAAGCTGGAGACCCTAGAGGGAAAACCCGTGGACCGAATCTGGAATGTCATCCACTTGAAAAAGTTTTACCAATAAAAGGTAAGCCGTGTACAAGTATCTGAATTTCTAAACTTAAAATAAAAGAACGCTAGTTACCACCGATTAACGCCTTCCATTCGGCAAGAAGAGATAAGAAACAAGGGCCCAGACCCTTAGTCGTTTCCGTGAAAAAGCCAAAAGGAGTCAACTCGACTGAGGGACTCGACGAGAAATTAAAGAAACAACGGGGCACTGACCCTAAACCGTTTCTATGAAAAGAAAAAGCCTAAGGAGTCGCCTCGACTGAGGGACTCGGCGAGAAGAGATAGGAAACAAGGGCCCAGACCCTTAGTCGTTTCCGTGAAAAAGCCAAAAGGAGTCGCCTCAACTGAGGGACTCGGCGAGAAATTAAAGAAACAACGGGGCACTGACCCTAAACAATTTCTAAGAAAAGAAAAAGCCTAAGGAGTCGCCTCGACTGAGGGACTCGGCGAGAAGAGATAGGAAATAAGGGCCCAGACCCTTAGTCATTTCCGTGAAAAAGCCAAAAGGAGTCGCCTCGACTGAGGGACTTGGCGAGAAATTAAAGAAACAATGGGACACTGACCCTAAACCGTATCTAATAAAAGAAAAAGCCTACGTAGTCGCCTCGACTGAGAGACCTGGCGAGAAGAGATAGGAAACAAAGGCCCAGACCTTAGTCGTTTCCGTGAAAAGCCAAAAGGAGTCGCCTCGACTGAGGGACTCGGCGAGAAATTAAAGAAACAACGGGGCACTGACGCTAAACCGTTTCTAAGAAAAGAAAAAGCGTAAGGAGTCGCCTCGACTGAGGGACTCGGTGAGAAGAGAAAGGAAACAAGGGCCCAGACCCTTAGTCGTTTCCGTGAAAAAGCCAAAAGGAGTCGCCTCGACTGAGGGACTCGGCGAGAAATTAAAGAAACATCGGGGCACTGACCCTAAACCGTTTCTAAGAAATGAAAAAGCCTAAGGAGTCGCCTCGAATGAGGGACTCGGCTAGAAGAGATAGGAAACAAGGGCACTGACCCTAAACCGTTTGTAAGAAAATAAAAAGCCTAAGGAGTCGCCTCGACTGAGGGACACGGAGAGAAGAGATAGGAAATAAGGGCCCAGACCCTTAGTCGTTTCCGTGAAAAAGCCAAAAGGAGTCGCCACGACTAAGGGACTCGGCGAGAAATTGAAGAAACAACGGGGCACTGACCCCTAAAATGTTTCTAAGAAAAGAAAAAGCCTAAGGAGTCACCTCGACTGAGGGACTTGGCGAGAAGAGATAGGAAACAACCGCCCAGACCCTTAGTCGTTTCCGTGAAATAGCCAAAAGGAGTCGCCTCGACTAAGGGACTCGGCGAGAAATTAAAGAAACAACGGGGCACTGACCCTAAACCGTTTCTAAGAAAAGAAAAAGCCTAAGGAGTCGCCTTGACAGAGGGACTCGGCAAGAAGAGATAGGAACCAAGGGCCCAGACCCTTAGTCGTTTCCGTGAAAAAGCCAAAAGGAGTGGCCTCGACAGAAGGACTCGGCGAGAAATTAAAGAAACAACGGGGCACTGACCCTAAACAATTTCTAAGAAAAGAAAAAGCCTAAGTAGTCGCCTCGACTGAGGGACTCGGCGAGAAGAGATAGGAAACAAGGGCCCTGACCCTTAGTCATTTCCGTGAAAAAGCCAAAAGGAGTCGCCTCGACTAAGGGACTTGGCGAGAAATTAAAGAAACAATGGGACACTGACGTAAACTGTATCGAATAAAAGAAAAAGCCTAAGTAGTCGCCTCGACTGAGGGACTTGGCGAGAAGAGATAGGAAACAAAGGCCCAGACCTTAGTCGTTTCCGTGAAAAAGCCAAAATGAGTAGCCTCGACTGAGGGACTCGGCGAGAAATTAAAGAAACAACGGGGCACTGACGCTAAACAGTTTCTAAGAAAAGAAAAAGCGTAAGGAGTCGCCTCGACTGAGGGACTCGGTGAGAAGAGAAAGGAAACAAGGGCCCAGACCCTTAGTCGTTTCCGTGAAAAAGCCAAAAGGAGTCGCCTCGACTGAGGGACTCGGCGAGAAATTAAAGAAACATCGGGGCACTGACCCTAAACCGTTTCTAAGAAATGAAAAAGCCTAAGGAGTCGCCTCGATTGAGGGACTCGGCTTGAAGAGATAGGAAACAAGGGCCCAGACCCTTAGTCGTTTCCGTGAAAAAGCCAAAAGGAGTCGCCACGACTAAGGGACTCGGCGAGAAATTGAAGAAACAACGGGGCACTGACCCCTAAAATGTTTCTAAGAAAAGAAAAAGCCTAAGGAGTCACCTCGACTGAGGGACTTGGCGAGAAGAGATAGGAAACAACCGCCCAGACCCTTAGTCGTTTCCGTGAAATAGCCAAAAGGAGTCGCCTCGACTGAGGGACTCGGCGAGAAATTAAAGAAACAACGGGGCACTGACCCTAAACCGTTTCTAAGAAAAGAAAAAGCCTAAGGAGTCGCCTCGACAGAGGGACTCGGCAAGAAGAGATAGGAACCAAGGGCCCAGACCCTTAGTCGTTTCCGTGAAAAAGCCAAAAGGAGTTGCCTCGACTGAAGGACTCGGCGAGAAATTAAAGAAACAACGGGGCACTGACCCTAAACAATTTCTAAGAAAAGAAAAAGCCTAAGTAGTCGCCTCGACTGAGGGACTCGGCGAGAAGAGATAGGAAACAAAGGCCCAGACCTTAGTCGTTTCCGTGAAAAAGCCAAAATGAGTAGCCTCGACTGAGGGACTCGGCGAGAAATTAAAGAAACAACGGGGCACTGACGCTAAACCGTTTCTAAGAAAAGAAAAAGCCTAAGGAGTCGCCTCGACTGAGGGACTCGGCGAGAAGAGATAGGAAACATGGGCCCAGACAGTTAGTCGTTTCCTTGAAAAAGCCAAAAGGAGTCGCCTCGACTGAGGGACTCGGCGAGAAATTAAAGAAACAACGGGGCACTGACCCTAAACCGTTTCTAAGAAAAGAAAAAGCCTAAGGAGTCGCCTCGACTGAGGGACTCGGCGAGAAGAGATAGGAAACAAGGGCCAGACCCTTAGTCGTTTCCGTGAAAAAGCCAAAAGGAGTC